CAATCCTTGGCACCAAAAAAATAAATAAATAAAGCTAATACTGGGACAGTTTAACAGGGGTTATTGCCGTCTGGTCTCTTGAATTTCTGTATCATTGCTACATTACTATATTAAGACTATAAATAAATTTGATTCTGCCTGGAGATTTAATTAAACAACATTTACACAGGTGGAGAGTGCAACATTGACCTCAGTCATCCTGAACCAAGACAAACGCACCCAAATGTGCCACAGTAACACATGGCTATGAGCCATTTCTAGATTATCTGTCCCAAAAGATACATCTTGGCAGATGGATATAAATATGAAATCTTAGATTAATATTTTTTAAAAAGCAAGTATATGCATTAAAGGAAAGGGAGAATCTGGTTTGGCAGATATTCACATGGCAAAGAGATCAGAAGACTTCATGAACTTCATAAACTTCAATAAAAGCCAACAAAATTATGTATCTAAGAGATAATGTGGCTCATGAGACAGAAGGCCCAGTTCTTTTCCTAGTTTTATCTGGACTGGATTTTACTTGCAAACTTTGGTTTCTTATGTGCAAAGTGACAGAATAGAGATACTGTTGCCCATTCCCACCTTCAGGACTTGGAAGAAAAAACAATTATGACTATAAAGGAGCTTTGAAAATCATGATTTTTTAAATCTGGCTATTAATATTATGAAGACATTCATTTATGTTTCTGCCCAAAAAAGGTGGGGGGTAATAATTAACAGTGTTTAAAAGGATAAATTCTAAACTGCTACGCAGATGTGTCTCAGAGGATCACCAAGATTGGCACCTCCTGTTAAAACTGCCTTTTCCATCAACACTGCCCTTCCCGTTATTTGCATTTTTATACCTCTTCATCTACACGTGGATAATTCTTTAAATTTTAATCTGTAAAAGCTTCCAGGCATGGAGGCATAGGCCTATAATCCCACCAACTCAGGTGGTTGAGGTAGGAGGATCACAAGTTTGAGGCCAGCCTCAGCAATTTAGCAAAGCCCTAAGCAACTTAGCAAGATCCTGTCTCAAAATAAAAAAAAAAAGGGCTAGGGATTTAGCTCAGTGGTCAATCACTCCTGGGTTCAATCCCCAGTACCTAAAAACAACAGCTAATGTAATCACTGACAGCATAAATATAGAAGAAAGAATTCTCAACCTTTAAGGTGACACTCAGGTTCCATGCAGACTTAACTGATCAAAATTTCTGGACGGAAGAGAGTAAATAAAAAAAACCCAAGCCATTTATAATTTAACAAGTTCCCAGGGGGCTGGGATGTGGCTCAAGCGGTAGCGCGCTTGCCTAGCATGAGTGCGGCCCGGGTTCGATCCTCAGCAGCACCACATACCAACAAAGATGTTGTGTCCGCAGAGAACTAAGAAAAAATAAATAAAAATGTTAAAATTCTCTCTTTAAAAAAAAAAAACAAGTTCCCAAAGTGCTTCCAGTGACTTTCTTATTGCAATTACTACAACATTGTAATTAATATTAGCTCAATATTATCATGTATCACCCACTAAATATATGCTAGTCACTGTCCTAGCACTTTACATGTATTACTTATATGATCTTTACAGCCATGTAAGTATGTGCTGCTGTAAACACTGCCCTCCCCTCACCCTCACTTTTATAGATGAAGACAATAAAATAGAAAGAGATTACTTAATTGGCCCAAAGTCACAAGACTAATGTAGCAAAGTTTGAAAATTGTTGATCTAGTTTCCTACACTAGGAAAATTGTACAGTCAGTCATGGTGATGCACACTGTAATCCCAGATACTTGGAGGTTGAAGCAGAAGGACTGCAAGTTCAAGGCCAGTCTCAGCAATTTAGCAAGACCCTCCACAACTTGGCAAGACCCTGTCTCAAATTAAAAAATAAAAAGAACTGGGAATGTAGCTTGATGGCAGAGTATCCCCGGATTAGATCCTTAGTAACAAAGAAAAAAAAAAAAGAAAAGAAAAGAAAGAAAGAAAACAGTTGTATGTAAACTCTGGTCAGATCATATTGAAATCTGTTTTCTTTTAAAAACAGAGTTGCCCAAAGAAGCACAGTGAGCCCCTACTAAACTAGAAGAGCACCTGGGAAAGTAGCTCAGTGATACAGCACATGCTTAACCTATGGTACAAGGCCCTGAATTCAATCCACAGCACCAAACAAATAAACCTGCAAGGGACAAACAACCTAAGGCTGTTTGCAGGTGTCCAATAAAATTACCATCAATTCATGCTGTAGTTGTCTTCCCTCCTAGCCCAAGAGCCCTGAAGTGCAGGAACCATGTATGTATGCCTCTTGGTACCTGGGGCCTACCTGAAGGACTTAGTAAATAATCTAACCAATAAATCTAGATAAATCCTGATGGCTATCCTGGGAAATACGAAGGGCTATTGTGTAAAGAAGAAACAAACTTAATTTATGTTACTTCTCGGGAACAATTCATGTCAACATGTAAAAGGGGAAGATCAGATTCTAGAACAGTCTAAAAACATGCCTGGCGATCAAGGCTCTACAAGAACAGAGCAGCATGCCTGAGGTTTGAGACTGAATGTAGCAGGAATATGGTAGAATGTTGGATTATGGTGCCTCTAAGAGCTCTTCTTCCAAAATACAAATCCTATTAGTCCACATTCCAAGGTATTTGTTTATCCTTTTATATAATCAGCAATTTCCACTAGGTATAAAAGTCACATTAGTAAGTTACCATGGATACCATAATGTGTTCTACAAACTTCCTGTGCTTTCAAGGACCCAGAGAAGAGTGCATGTCCACAAGTAAACCTGAGCAAGGAGGAAGGTGACTATATGATAGGAAACAGCAAGGGGTGAGACTTCCAGGCGAGAATAGTCTGAGCATAAAGTGGGCAGGAAAGCCCTGGGATGGTGAAGACCCAGCTATAAAAAAATCAGTAACTCTGGTGCTGTAGAGGTCACTTAGTCTAATATCTATATACACTTCATGGATGATGCTCTCCTGGCACTGAGAAAAGAAAGCTTAGTTCATTTTTTAAATTATATTTTATAAATCAAAAAATTATATCATCAATGCTTTCTTTGCTTAGTTTTTGTTTTTATATTTAAGAATAAGAGATCCTTCACTTTTTTCAAGGAAATCTTTTAAATGATTCTGCTTTTAAACATGTTTTACTACTGTCTACTATTTCAACTGTTTAATTTGACAACTGAACATGCAGTTATCACAACTGATAGCTATTAAAACTCAGATCTGGGGGGGCTGGGGGGGGAACAACTCTGAGCCTAACATTGACCTTTAAATGATTGAGATCCACCGATAGTACTATAAAATTAAAAGTATTATATTTAAAAGTAATTTTAAGTAGAATATTATTATAAAAACACAATTCCTAAGGCCAGAATTGACATCAACAAATAGAATCTCAATCTACCTCATCCAACTTATAAATCATGACACCGAAGCCAGGCATGGTAACATGAACCTATAATCCCAGAGACTTGGGAGGCTAAGGCAGGAAGAGGATCACAAATTCAAAGTCAGATTCAGACCCTAAGCAACTTAGCTAGACCCTGTCTCAAAAGATAAAAAGGGTTAGGGATGAAGCTCAGGGGTAAAACACTCCTGGGTTCAATTCCTAGTACCAAAACAAAAGCAAAGAAGCAAAACTTAATTAATAGAAGACTGAAGCAAAAAAAGAAAAAAAAAATCTAAATCCAAAACCAAACAAAATATAACACATTTCAGTAATAAACTTCTTTTAGCCAGTCATTTCTCATCATCCATGTAAACTATTTTAAGGATCTGAAATCTTCCTCTATAAAAAGCAAGTTCCCATCATCTGAACTACACTTACATTCTACTGAAGGAGTTTCCAAAGCACAACACATGAAGCTTCAGATTTTTGCTTCCTTATCTACTGCACATAAATAAGGTTGAATCTGTGGGTTAATTCAAAAGCCTGACACAGTAGGAGATCTAGGGTTTGGGTTCTAACACAAATTTTGTAAACTTTGCAAAAAACCTTTTCTGTACTTGCCACATCAACTGTAACATACAGTATGTGACATCTCCACCACTAATAAAAGTCTCTTTGAAGGAGTTCTGACTGGCTAACCTTAGCTGGGAGAATTTAAAACGATGGCTGAAAACTCCTTGATAAAAATTAAAACTTTATAAACCTAAGAAGCAGTGTTACAAGTTAGCACATAATAAACAATGACTTACAGAAAATGAGATTTGAGTAACTGCTACAAAGGTGCAATCAGACAACTTTACAAAAATGAGTAAGCAAACAACTCATCAAATTTTAAAAATTTTCCTAGCAAATGGAGAAGATAAATAATATTCCGTACTCTGGGGCACTGTGTTATTTTCCTTATCTGGATGGTCTCTGCATCAATGTTACTATTCTTCTAAACCTCTTGATGAGTAAACGGACTGGGACTGTCTAAGATCCCTTATAGGAAAAGTTCAGTAAATATCACGAATACCGAATAATAGTAATAAAAATACAATTCCTAAGGCCAGAATTGACATCAGACTGGGACACCTGAATATGGTGCAAGGTACATGGCACATGCAACTGTTTCTCACTTCTGTCTCTTCTGCATCACTGCCTCCCAAAGGACTATAGAACCCGAAGCTCTCGTTGCCACATCTACAAATTAAAGTATCATGTTTAAAGAGCTCACAGGTTCTACGAACAGGTCAGTATTTAATGAAGGAACCAAGCTACACAGAAATTCACCCGATGGAACACAACATGCTTTATAAGACTCCACTTAATTATGTTTTTTTTTTAATTTCGGAAATAAACACAACTCTTCTTTAAATATTATGTAATAAGTTAGACTCTGGAAAACCCCATACTCATCCGAGAAGCTCAGAAAAAAAAAAATGGAAAGCAAAATTCGATTAGCTCCATTGTACCCAACCAGGCTAACGTGCAAGATCACACACTCATCTCCGTCAGAGAGTCTCTGCCAATACCAAAGAACAACAAAGGCAAGTTGAGGAGGCTGTTCAGGCTTAACTCAGCACTTGTCCGCTTTCCCAGCTTCGGAAAGAAGCTGTCGGAGGGCACCCCCGAGACCACAGGGACCCTCCGCATTGCTCCCGGCGGGCTGCTCAGCTCCGCGCCGCTCCTTCAGCTTTTGTCTGGCCCGGCCGCTCGCCTCCCCGGGACCCTTCCCTCTGGATCTTTCTCCACACCCATCACTCGCCGATGACTAGTTGCTGTAGGTTTCTCTCCCGAGCCCCGTGCCCTCGCAATCCCGAGCTCCTTTCCCAGGCGACCCGAATCGAGTTGGCTTCTCCCCCCCGGGGCCGGCGGACTCGGGTCAGGAAGGGGGCCCGGGGTGGAGTCTGAGAGAGAGAAAGTGAGAGGGGCACACAAAGCCCGGCTGACCCCAGCGCCGCCCGCCCGCCCTCTGCAAAGAAGCCTGGGATCAGCAACCTCCTGGTAGGATCCACCGCCCTCACATCCCACTCCTCACCCGGCTCCCACTTAAGGGCCGCCCCCTCCCCCCAAAGTGCACCCCAGAGTGGATGACAGCGCTGGACATCGCCCCCACCCAGACCCGGCGCCCGCCGCCGCGGGGGAGGGACCGGGGGCCTCGGGACGACTCGGGTCTAAACCTCCTCGCCCTAACCCGGTACTTACAATCCTATTATTCGCTACTGTTTGCCGCTGCGGACCGGACAGCCGCCGCCTTCTCCTCCACCCCAATGAGGTTAAGCGCTTGGTGCGGGGATTAAAAAAAAAAAAAAAAAAAAAAAAAAAAAAAAAAAAAAAAGGAGCGAGAGAAGCTCACAGCGCCTGCGCAGTGCAGTCTCTCTTTTTCCCTTTACCGCCACCGACCGGGCTGGACCATAGAGAGTGTAAATCGAGACCAGAGAGGTGGCTGCCTCTCTATGGTAACGCCCCGCGCAGGCGCCGGCCTGGCTGCGTTGAGCTTCGGGAGCTGGCAACCTCGGGAGGTTTGCCTCCACGGAAAACGTTAGTTGACGCTAATGGGGACCCGTAGGGTAAAGGTTAAGGAAAGGGTAGCCCGCGTGTAGTAGTCAGCTTGGAGAGTTGTGGCAGAACTCGGGCAAGATAAAAGGACAGACCTAAGCAACACACACCAGAAAGCAAGGAGAGTGATAGGAAGAGCTAGAGAGGAGTCAAGAGAGCGTGGATTAAAGTCGTCCGGCCGGAACTTCCTTTGGCTGGGGGAGGGGGGTCTAATACCTGAGGAAACAGTGTTTCACTTCTGGGTTACGGGCGCCCCATCCCCATCGGGCGACTTTCATGAAGAAAATTGTGCCCTGTGACTGCCCGTAGCGAGGCAGAGCGCGCTTTCCCGAGGTGGCGCGGACGCTTATCCCGGAAGCATAACTTTTGAACAGTTCTTTGCTGTTTTCTTTGCTCCCCGTAGAGGCTTCGGGGACTCTTGGGTCAACCTCAGAAAAGCTTTTTTTTTTTTTTTTTTTTTTTACTTATACGACTGCCTAAATAATGCCGCTTCTGCCCTTCCTGGCGCGTTACCCTCGGATGAAATGTGGGAAAGAGAGCTGGAGGGTGGAAAGCTATGCAAATTATAGGGCTGCCTTCAAGGATCCTGAAGGACCCCCCACGGTTCTGCCATGTAAAGCTTCTGTGCTCGCCGGTAATTTGACTGAAAGTTTTTGTGATGAGAACCCACACTGCTTCGTGAAAATCACTCTTAAGAATGATGTTCAATGTACGGATTCTTCTGGGTCCTCCTTGGTGCCGAGCTCCATGCTGCTGGCGTGTGAATGAGTTGGGAGAATGGTACCCGAGAACAGTTGAGATAATGCCTTCTGGTTCCCAGAGATATAGGAGTCCTGATCGGAGGGGCTAAGCTAAAACAATGCTAGGTGTGGGTCTTGTGCAGAAAAGTTAAGATAACTGTGGTTTGAAGGAGTAAGAAAAACAGGATACAGTTCCTGGTTGAATTTAGAAAGGAACGAAAACACAAGTAATTTTTTAAATATGGTTAGGTGAAAATGAAAGAACATTCCACCATGAGTGAAGGCTAAAGAGGAATTGGTTGGTATGTGGAAGTATAACTAATGTGTAGCCTACCTGAAATGATGCTAAGTAAGGTTTGATAAGTAGAATGGCAAATAATTGTTTGTTTTTTTATACACCTAACAAAGTTTACCATCCTAATCACTTTTCATATAGTTCAGTAGCATTAAATAAGTTTACATTGTTGCGCAGCCAATCACTAGCATGCTTTTTGTCTTGCAAAACCGGCTCCAAAATCATTGAACAGCTATCTTCTGTTGCCTCTCCATCCTCAGCCCTGATAACCACTATTCTATAGTGTTGTGAATTTAACCTCTCTAGGTACTTCATGAAAGTGTAATAATATAGTGTTGGTCTTTTTGTGACTGGCTCATTTCACATAGCATCATTTCCTCAAGATTATCCCTGTTGGCTAGTTGTGATGGCACACACCTGTAATCCCAGCAACTCAGGAGTCTGAGGCAGGAGGATTGAAAGGTCAAGTCCATCTTTGGCAACATAGCAAGAGTGTATCAAAGTAAAAAAGGGTCGAGGAGGGCTGGGGTTGTGGCTCAGTGGTAGAGTGCTGGCCTAGCATGGAGGAGCCACTGGGTTCAATCCTCAGCACCACATAAATGTAAAATAAAGATATTGTGTCCACCTAAAACTAAAAAATGAATATTTTTTTAAAAGGGTGGGAGATATAGTTACATTCTCTAAAAGAACTCGGGTTTAATTACCCTGGGTCCATCCCCGGTATATTTATTTTTATGTGGTGCTGGGGATCGAACCCAGTGCTTCATGCAATGCTAGGCAAGCGCTCTACCACTGAGCCACAACCTCAGCCCTGCTTTCACCTTTTTGCTATTATGAATAATGCTGTTGTGAACATGGGCATACCCTTATCTCTTTAAGACCTTGCTTTTGAATAGAATGGGAAAGATTTGGAAACCCAGTAGAGAAATCCATAGTTGATAGTACTGGTTTATATCCTTGACTAGGGTTAGTAACATTGGTAAGGAATAGGTTTTTGTTGTGTTTTGTTTTGTTTGAACCACTAGGACTCTAACCCAGTGCCTCCTGACTGCTAGGCAACTATTCTTAACCCTGAGCTAAACCCCCAATCCAAAGAACTGTATTAGAAAGTGATTTTCCCCTCAAAGTTGACTATATACCCTCACTTAGATAAAGCATTTATGAAGGCCTTTTCTTTGCTAGGCATTATATACTACTGCTTTCTGTAAATTATTAGTATATCTTTGAATGCATCAAGATCACGTGAGCCAATTGTTACTCACCCCATTTTACAAGTGAGAAAATCAAGGCTTTGTTACATATGGGCTGAGGGAAGGCTCACCAACCACACATATACACAAGGGAGAAGGAAAGAAAATTGCCATGGGAGCTAGGCACCTGTGGGGCCTGACAGTTCACTGCTTTGGAAAGGATATTGGGGGGAAAAAATCACACGTAAGAGTGACTTTTCTTAAGAAAGAATAGACTGACATCAAAAGCTTTCGCTGTCTGTATAAAGCTCTACACAACAAAAGTGCATCTTTTACATTCCCTAAAAGAACCCTGGGTTTAATTACAGGTCTGCTTTTTGCCTTTAATAAATATAAGAAGGCTAGGTAGGAGTACCTTTGTATATAATAGAGAAATTAATGGGACACATCCTTTCCTACTCAACACTTCATCTTTTATTTTATGTTCTCAAAAATACTGTTTGGGGCTGGGGTTGTGGCTCAGCGGTAGAGCACTCACCTAGCAAGTGTTAAGGCCCTGGGTTCGATCCTCAGCACCACATAAAAATAAAGAAACTAAAAGTATTGTGTCCAACTTAAAAAAATAAAAATATTTTAAAAAATACTGTAAGGGAGGCTGAGACAGGAGGATTGCAAGTTTGAGGCCAGCCTCAACAATTGAGGGAAGCCCTAAGCAATTTAGTGAGACAGTGTATCAAAATAAAAATTTAAAAAGGCTGGGGAATGTGGCTCAGTGGTAAAGCACTTTGGGGTTCAGTCCCCCATGGCAGGGTGAGGGAGTGTGTGGAGAGGGTGGATTCATGAAGTCTTTTGGACAGGTAAGGAAACTGAGGAAAAATTCTTTGTCCAGTGAACCTGAGCCTCCAGAATTCCTACTCTTCTTTGGTCCTCCTTTGAGAGACAGTAAAATGCCTTATTAGTCTGTGTGAATGGACGGAGTTTCTATTTTCAGTCTCGCCTTCCTTAGGGATGCATGCCCAACTCTGATGAAGCTAATGCTAATTAAAAAAGGAAGTACAGAATATAAGTGCATTGCAAACACCATTCATACTCTCAAAAATATTGTGTACAAACTATGTGCCAAACCTTTAGCAAAGCAGCGAAAAGTCCCTGATCTCATCAAGGAAATATTTTTGAAAGTAATGAATAAAATATATGACAGCTAGGATAAGTGTTGCAGGAAAAAATGAAACAGGCACAAATAGGAAGGTAATTAATGAGGTTTGGGGTTAAATTCATCAGGGGGACCCTATTGAGAAGGGAAGCTTATTCAGAAAAAGGAAGTGAAGGAACAAAAAAATACCTTGTTGGGGAAAAAGAGCATTCAGGGAGAACAATAGCAAATGCAGAATTGTTCTACAGCAGGAGACACCTCCTGCATTCTAAGAACAGAAAGGCCAGAGTGACCAGTATAGAGAGCAGAAGGGTAAAAGTAGGAAATGAGGTCAGAAAGGTAACAGGATGCCAAACTGTGTTGAGACCAACAGGCCATTATGAGGATTTTTACTGGGCGACAGTGGATGCCTTTAGGAGGTTACAGTTTGACTTTTAGTACATGCTCTATCACTGAGCTACATCCCCAACTCCCTGACTTAATTTTTTATTAAAATATTTTTTAGTTGTAGATGGACATAATATCTTTATTTTATTTATTTATTTTTTATGTGGTGCTGAGGATCGAACCCAGTGCCTCACACAAGATAGACGAGTGCTCTACCACTGAGCCACAACCCCAGCCCCCTTGACTTAAATTTTTAAAGAAACACTTTGGCTTCTATTTTGAAAATAGGTTGTTGGAGAGTTAGGAGAACCATCTAGGCACCTACTGTATTAGTCTACATAAGAGGCAATTTTGACTTAGAGAAAGTGCAAGCAGTGGAGGGGTAAGTATCTGGGTATATCCAGACAAGATGACACACAGGATTTGATGGAAATTTAGTTGAGGGTGTGAGAAAATTGGCCAGTCCAAGGTGACATAAGATATTTGGCATGAACAGTCTCAAGAATTAAGTTGCCATTTATTGAAATGGGAAAGATGAAACAAAATGACAAAGGAGAAGGTCAGGAATGGGAGGAGATAAGAAATTCAGTTCTGTTA